AAACAATGTGGGATTCTAATAATGTTAAACACCGTGCTCGTCAACCATGGACTCAAGATGAGATAAAGGATCACCAAGGGTAATTTCATTCTGAAAGCACACAAGCCAACAACAAGACGCCTATTCTATACTATATTTCAATAAGGATAGATCATAAATTTGACTCAGATCTACTGATAACTGCCTTCACTCAAGAATACATTTTGGGTGATTTCCCAAACAAACCATTCAAAGTTCAATTTAAAACCAATTGTCTCATTTTCAACTATGCGATAAAATTCGAAAGAACTTCGGGACGGAAAGTAGTTTAAAACGGAGTTCCTTAGATCTTAATTCTTTCACACAAGTGAGGGCCTGAAGAAATTTAAATCCAATAGTTAGAGAAATTGTACTATAAAGGAGGCAAAGCAAACCAAAGTTCTGTCCTGATTATTCTCACAGAACAGCAAATGAGATATCAGATATGTAAATTGTCGTCCTTTTAGGACTTTCCCTTGGACTTCTGCACCCAAGATCATATTTCACGTGTGTAAAATCCACTCCTAAAGTTATGAACAAGCGCCATTATGCATGAAAGAAGGAGGTACTCAGTGAAAAAATAAAATAAAATAAATATTGGACTGCAGTCATTAGTGTTCAAATTAACTCCAATTAAGTTACACATCATGAATATCAACAAAAGAACAAGTACAAAACAATCTCGAACACAAACTTTTAAGATAAATAATATCTCATTAAGTGCACATGTTGTGCAAGAGCCAGATACAAGATCATCAGTACAAACCAAGAAGGTAATTACCCAACTCTATATTTCATGTTTTTTGCCCCAAACTTCGAAGGATTTTTAGGTCTTTTGGATTGAACCAGGGCGGGGCCACAAAAAGTTCACCAACGGAACTAGTATTTTAAAACACTAATCAGTAATCAAGGCATTTTGCTTCTGTGAGGTACAGCGTGAGCTCAACATAACGAACCAAAAATAATTCAAAAATTATAATTGTAATAAATCGTAAATTTGTTAACAATCTAAAGCCTTCATGATAAAATATTTTAGTAAAATTAAAGTATGATTTGCGACTCAAACTTGAAAGGGAACAATAAATTAGCAAATAATAAAATTAACATTGTAGAGATCACATAAAGAGACTATTAATCTACAACTAGAACTAAAGGTTCAAACCAAATGAAATGACTGAGCTAACTATTCAAGAATTTTGCTTGATTTAACTTTAAGACAAGAAAACAAAAACACATAGACAACAACGAGAAGACTATAAAAGAAAGAAAAGAGTGAAGTTCATTGTCACGAGTCTCCTGTCACCGATTGTTCACCGTTGAAAAATTGCAACTTCAATTCGGAGAGGGGTTTCGCAATTCAGTTGTACGATGTTAGGACATGCTGGCTTCAGTGCGCTCTCTCTCTCTCTCTCTCTTTTCTAGTTATTAGGGTAGTGTTGCATTTAAAATAGTCAAGAAAACCTTAAAACATTCTGTGCTACACAAGACCAGCCAAAAAAGCTCAAGTCAATGGTTAAATAGCACAAAGCTTATGCCTTGAGGTGTGTACCTGAATATGTTGAGGCGTAAGTGTCGACAAGTGGCACTAAAAATGTAAGCTTTGAGACATTAAGAAAGACCTAAAATGATGCATGCCTTAATGAGTAAACCATGGGTGCTTTTCGAAACAATGCGCTGAATTAAACATGCATAGATAAATCTTGGCTAAGAAGCACCGACATGAACACAACATAGACGCACTAGCAAATGATTTTTCAAAAAACTAGGACATGGCTTGTTGATTAAAATAATTTTTTTACTCAACGAAAATAGAATATTGTATTTGTTGTATCAAAGTGGATATAAGAAATATAAAACAATCTCGACATTAAGTTTGTATATATTTTCTCATAACATGATGTTCATCCAAACAAAATTGAAAGAACAATTCTCTCTCATTATATTTCCAAAATCTTCGTCATTTGTAAACAATATTTCCTCAAATTGATTCATAGAGATCAATTATTAATTTCAAGTTACCAATATCTTCAAATGCATCACCACCAATACATTCACATGCTAGTCTCTCTTTGTAAATATACTAGATTCTTTCTTTACAAGATACGAAGATTAATCAAAGTCGTCCGCTTTCCCATCTCTATCATTGTAACCCATATGTCAGAAATTAAATGAAGACAAAGTTTATGAATATCATAACATCACAAAGTCAAAGAAATTCATAAATAAGAGCAGTAAAGAACATAACCTATGTAGTTCCACCAAGGATCATCAAGCTCTTTATGTTTCACAAAAATATCCTTAACGCATCATTTTCTCAATGGGATGATCGTTTATCAATTATAATCATGGCTTGGAGGCGACTTCATAAGCTTAAATCTTTTTCAGCATAAAAACAAAAGAAAATTGCTAGTATCATGCAAAAAACAACTACATCGATACATATTTTTAACACTGCGAGTCTTGTAGAGCCGCTCATAATACAATATTATTACTCAAATAATTTTTAATCTTATCAATGGAGGTCTTCAAGCTACGAATGGTCATTGTATGAGAAGCTCACATGTTAAAAGAGCAATTTTGTGAAAATTAAAGTAATTGATAATCTTTGGTGGGACTCTATAATTACGTTGTTTCATTCATTGCCAAGGAGGGACTCTATAATTACGATGTTTCATTCTATAATTACGTTGTTACTATATGAATAAGCTCCAAATGTAAAGAGGATTTAGACTCCGTTGATAGCAATATTCATCTCTTTTCAATGATGAGTTCACAATATTCCCAAGGAGGGACTTTATGAGGCATTTGGATACCAAATTGAGAATTGATTATAGTACATTTATACAAGATACAAATCCTATTTAACGTAAGGCAACTATTTATACTACTGTGTTAATTCCTCATCAAATAAGGAATACATTTGATACAGAAAACCTTATGCGTTCTAACTCGTATATTTAGTTTATTTGAAAACGTTGGCGTGCTTGAAGTTTGAAGTTGCTAATTTATCTCTACATAAATCAGAACTTGGGGGGGAACAGAGATGAAAATGTTGGAGAGGCAAGTGACGATGAATGTTAGAATTAAATTTCGTTGTTATGAGAAAATATGCATGAACTTGATGTCATGTTTGCGCTTTGTATTTGTTATATACACTTTGATGCAACAAGTATACAATGTCCTATTTCGTTATAATGAAAAAAATTAATTTATATTATTTTCACTAAAGTGTCCCTGACGTGTCATATATTACTTTTTTGGAAAACAACATATTGGTTTGTCGTCCGTCCTTGTCCGTGTTCTACATCGTTTCTTAGACTATTCACATATATTTCACTTCTTATCGAATGGTATTACTGAAGCCAGAATAGAATTAAATAGCAATACAAGATGACATCTTAAATCGTGCTCTATCAAGCTATATAAGACATAAATAATAATTTTTCTACTAAAATTATTTGGACCTACCTGTAGACTACAAAATTTTCAAAGTGACATGTATCTCACGGTACTAAAGGGATCAGATCAGTGTGTACATTATGCCCATGTTAGGTTTACTTACCTACCTCAAATTTTGTACGTAGTACCCGCAAAAGGAGAATTTTAATAGCTCATGAAACAGTTGTGATTTTGACCCCGACCACCCAGAATCCCAGTAAACATGCAAGCAAAATGCCTACATATGAACAAATATAGCTAATAGGTATAACAGTTGCATTTTTTTTAGTTGCACAATTAACCATACATCACTCCAAACAATTAGAAAACTTATAAACTTTAATGCATTACTCACTTTTACGAAATTGCTGCAAATATACTACATGTCAATAACGCATTGGGGAATCCATGGCCTTTCGAAATAATTAACATTTAAACTTAATGCAAAAGTAATCCAAATAAATCTTCTCCATCAATTTGTATCCTAACAAAAATTAGATTATATCACGTTCGAACAAGAATGACGAAAAATACAATGAAATCTGAAAACCTTACAGTGGAGTAGTGTCATCCAAGGAAGGATTTCAAGTTCTCGTAATTAAAAACTCTGATCACGAAGATCCCTTCAAGAATACCCAAACACGCTCCGGCCACAACATCAAGCACGAAATGCCGTCCCAGAAGTACCCGCGAAGCTGATGTAATTGCAGCCCATACCCCTACAATCACAACAAAATTCTCAACAAGCATACTATCAGCATCAAACTTCAATCGGGCCACCAAAATTTGTTCCACTATAGCTGAATAAAAGCTAATGAGGGTGGCAATGAAGGAAACCCTAGAGGAGTGCCCACTGGGGAAAGACCAGTGGTCAACGGCGAAAGAGAGGAACATGTTCTTGTTGTAAACAGGGCGAGGGCGTTGGATGAGGTGTTTGAGAAGGCCAATCAAGAGAAGGTCCAAAAGGGATCCGAGTAAAAGGTTTAGTAGGAGGAGAGAGGTGACGGTGAGGGTGGATGTAGTTGTGAGGGTGCTGATGGAGGTGGTGGTGTAGAGGAGTGAGAGAACGATGGGGAAAAAGAGACGTCCATCGCCGGAGAATTCGAGGAATTTGAGGACCGAGAAGGGTAAGGTGGGGTGAAAGAGGGTGTAGAGGTGGAGGGAGATGGCGGAGTCTAGGTTTATCAGGCGGCGGAGGAGGGTGAGAGACGGTGGTTTAGATTTCATGATTCTTGATTTTCCGGTGAGGCTTCAACCGTCAAGGATTCAAGTGCTGGCCAATATGTCATTGATTTGGGTTTAAGCAGGTCCAAGCCACTCCACATCAGGTGCTTCACCAGTCGAGATTTACTGTCCTTAATCTGGAGTTTTTCGAGTCGTACTTGAGGCTACGGTGAAAGCATAAGCGAATAGGCCCTTGTTTCAGCCCTAAAAATTAAAAAAGGATTTTATAATAGTAATTTTTTAAAGGAAGTAGGTTAATAAGGAGTTAAATATTTGAGTAATCATTGAACTTTGGTACTTGTCACGGTTTAGTCACTGTCCTTTTAAACTTATTCAATTGGCCACTCAACTATACTCCATCCAACTACATTGGCCACCTGAAGAAAATCGTTAGTAAACTTGCCTACATGGCTGACAATAATGTGACGTGGCAAGTTAAATGGTAACTTAGGTGCCACGTCAACGTCAAGTAGGTAGTGCCAAACGCGCACTTTGGAGAGAAAATTAGCACTCTTTGTCTTCCATTTCCTTCTCAAATCATGTCTCCACGTGAATCAATTAACTCATTAATAGAAACCCCAAATCTTGGACAGCAATTCTTGTTCGAAACCCTAATCCCACAAAATCTATAACATCCTACAATTGAAGGAGTTGTCCGAATCAGCTGAACCGAGGAAGGCGTTCAACCTCTTGAAGGTAAGTCGAAAACAATTTCTTGCACTATTTTCATGAATCGAGACATTGAGAAGACGCTGTATAGATAGTGAAAGTGATGAAGAGAATATATTACCTTAGGATTTGGGTTTGACGGAGTAGCTTCTGCAGCTAAAATTTCTGATATAGAGTAGAACTGGGGCTCCAGAAAATTAGGCGAAACTTTCGGCGATTAGCTTTCTGTCTGGACGGCTGTTTAACCCTGGCCATGGATTTTTCCTTTTTATGTTATTTACATTTTTGCAATTTTTGAAATTATATACATGATCTTAAAGCTTTCAGATTTGTGAGTTTATTTTTTCACATTTCAGATTTTTAAACCTCCAATTTTTTCTTGCTGAAGGGAAAATGGCACAATGATGCAATGACCATTGGGCCATTGATAACGTCGAAATGAGGTACCAACTAATTTTCCTTACTTAACTTAAACGTGTCGTTTTCAATAGTAATCTGGTAAGTAAGAGTCATTTCTCGCAGAGGATTGGTTCAATTT